TCTTGCCACCATGTCTTCTCTGTATTTCAATGTTTTCTGTGACCAATAATCCAGTACCACAGAACGGGAAAGTTGTAAAGAACAGGGCTTATTTTAACTTTTCTTTTAGGTGTAAGGGAGACATCTTAGAACATCATATGGCAAGGGACTAAGAGTCGGGGTATTGTCTGTGATGCTTCGGATTTGTTTCCCTCTCCTTTGGAAGCCACCAGGATTCAGTTGTGCGGGCTCCATCCTAATGACCTTACCTAATTCTAATCACTTTGAAAGGACCCCACCTCTAAACACCATCATAAAGGTTACTAGCCTTTTAATAACTGACAATGGAGATTAACTCTCACATATGAAGCTCTAGGAGGCACCAACTATTTTTTAACCACAGCACCTTCCTTCCAATACTATTTGATTCACTGTCACTATGTTAGGGGACTATTCTAATTGACTGTCTATAATCTTTTTTGTGCCTGACTCACCAGATTCTCTTTGGGGATCTTCATTTTTATGAAGAATCCATTTGATTTATGTTGCGTAATCCCATGTGATTTTCCTAGTACCGCACTGTTAAATCGAACAAATGGCTATCTTAATGAAAAACAAAATGTGCAATTCAAACACCGAGAGGCATAGTTTAATTATCTGCAAGGATTGTAAGCATACACGACACTGGAAAAGTAGGATGCTAAAGTAATATTTCATGTGACCATGCACAAGAAATTTAACATTCATTTAGAGTATTTTGCAGACTTCATGTTTGTGTAGGGTTATGTACTTATATAAAGGCATGTGTGCACATGTGCATACTGATGTGTTATTCACATGTGTCTGTGAAGGCCAAATATTAATGTTGATGTCTTCTTCAGTTACTCTCTGCCTTAATTTTTTGGGACAGGTTCTCACCGAATCTAGATTTCACTAGTGGGCAAGGCTGACTAGCCAGAGAGGCACAGCATTCTGCTATGGTGTAATTGCATCCAGCTTTGGTGCCAGGGAATCCACACTCAGGTCATCAAGCTTAGGCAACAAAGAGTTTACCAACAGAGCCATCTCCTCAACCCCTATTGCTGACTTTGAAGCATTGAGGAAATACCAGCCTTACCTGTCTACCACTGACTTCTGTCTTCAGTATGGCTTTAGGGAAAATGTGTGTTTTGGAAAATCCATAACTGTTTTGAGTAGTTCACATGGTAACATCCCCAAAAGAACAATTACAGAGGTCCTTCAACCCATGATTTTTTTCAGAGTTTTTCCCCAGATACCAGGCAATTTAATATGATTTAAAAGAATGATATATGTTCTTATAACAATCATTAGTAAGTAGCTCCTTGATCTTTTGGGGTTTTTTAGTACTTTTAATTACTTCTCTTCATTCCTAAATAATGATGTTGAATGTGTTGAGTCCCATTGAAGTGCCTAATTTGCCTTCTTAATACTGTGAGCCCATCCACAAGGTCCATTAGCTGAGTAATAGTGGGAGGTAGCATCCTTATGCATGGAACATCGTGCCCTTATAGCTACAGTGATGAGTTTTGTACCACCCACCTGGAGACAGAGGAATTGATATGTGGGGGACAATTTAGAAGAAGTATTCAGAAAGGGATTTGAGGTGTGTTTTTGTTTTCAAAACTAAGGAAATATAAAGAACAAAATGAACTGATTGGCATTTACTTGTAACTATTTCAAAAAAACATGTTGACATATTCCCACAGATAAGTAATGCTAAATGTCAACCTGAATGAAGCCATTTGGCTCTAATTGAGACATGAACTGATTTAGCAATTTTAAATACTTCTTATCTCACTACAGACAGAGAGAAAATGGGAAGTGCTTTGACCACTTAAGGTATTTTAACCAGAAAGGGTGGTACAAAAGAGATCATTTCAAAGAACACATAAAATTCAAGTTGGACCTTAATGTATAGCATATTACCATCTTCATATTTAAAATACATCTCTAAGCAATCTAACATCCCAGCGTTTTCTCACTGTATAGACTATCCACATACTTACACCTAAATTATGTAGACCATCAATATATTCCTTCAAAATAGCTGTATCAATTTGAGTGATTAAAATCATTCTATGGAAAAAATTAAAGCCTTAACTTTTGGCTCAAATTTAGTCTCTCCCTTGATCTATGACCTTGATGTTTACACTCAGCTCTACCAAAATAACATGACTTATGCAGAATTCTTGGGTAAAACTGGAGGAAAGATACTGCTTCAGCTCTTCTTCAGAATACATGGCTGATTATGATGATAAATAATAAATCCATACATTATTGTAAGTCTGTGGCCACAGTTGTGTTGCTATGTGGTCAAACCTCTTAGGACGCCCAATCAGAGGAAAACTTGCACAGTCTATTCTTCCAGGCACGTTGAAAACAAAGGCCCCTCTGCTCCACAAAACAATAGTGAGGTATCAATAATGGAAAGGCAGTTGGTACAATTAAAAGATTTTAACACAACATCATGTTGTTGCTGAAGTATCAACCAGTAGTACAATCCATTGTCATACACATGCTGGAAACAAATTAGTCCCCCCCCCCCAAGTAAAACAAATCCATTGCTATGCATATACTGAATTGATACAATGTTGCTTTTTCTGTCCACTTTGTAAAGAACTGATTTAAGTAAATATGGCCCTGCACAACCTATGAAAAATTATTTTGACCCATTAATGTACTAGGCTCTTTGTTCTGTGGACTTGTCTTCTTTGGGTAAATGATTTATATTTTATGGCCCATTGTCATAGCTTTGGCCCTGGTTCAATTCCAATTTAAGAAAATACTTGCAGTGCGGTCTTTGAGTAGCATGCAAACACTCCAAGAATTTGATGCTCCCCAGAATAATCTATGCTTCTTATGCAAGTGCAGTCAAATGCACTTTTTTTTTCAGAACAGAACAAAAGAGATTGGATTCTCTGTAGCTTAAATTGCTTCAAGAGTTCTCAGTGGTGGAATTGCTAATGGCTTTGTGCAAACAAGGGAGACTGAATCATGCATTTTTATTAGTCACCCAAGAAGCCTTTGGGTTTTAGGTTATTCTTAAGCGTGCAAACACCAAGGCTCATCTCTAAGAACCTCAAAAACGTCTTGCCTGATTAGGAAGTTAGTCATTTAATGTTTTGACAACTAAAACAATATAATGTTCAAAAAACTAACAAATTACCCTTAGAAGTAACAGGATACATCATTTTAAAAATGAGCAACCCAAGGGTTGGTGGCGCCTTCCTTTGTTCTGCTTAATCCTCCTTTGCTGTCTGAGAGTCCAATGTTTTGCAAATATCTGCACTGAGTTCTAATAATACAGGTTGATGCTAATTCTCCACTCTGTGTAGAAGCGTTATTTTAGACATTAGCAGCTTTTGAAGTCTGAGAATCAGCCCTCATTCCACAGTGATCTCTTCATCTGTTCAGTTTTATTCTGGTGTGAACACTGCCTTCCTCATCAGTGTTATTCTGGTGTGAACACTGCCTTCCTCATCAGCCAATATTACTCTGGTGTGAACACTGCCTTCCTCATCAGCCAATATTACTCTGGTGTGAACACTGCCTTCCTCATCAGCCAGTATTACTCTGGAGTGAACACCGCCTTCCTCATCAGTTCAATATTCTTCCGGTGTGAATACTGCCTTCCTCATCAGTCAGCATTATTCCGGTGTGAGCATTGCCTTCCTCATCAGTCAGTAGTATTCCGGTGTGAACATTGCCTTCCTCATTCCCCTTTAAAACCTGAATCAGTCTTCACCATAATATGTTGCCTTGTTCCAGAAGGCACGGTGAGGTCGAATTTGGGAAATGTCCTTACAGTTCTCGTGTTCTGGGATTATTTACCCCTTCTTGTTTTAGAAGTTGCCTCAGCTGTGGTCACAGACATCCCTTGAGGCCACTATTCCATTTATTTTGTCCATTTAAGGGGAACATACTGAAAATTTTGCTACTGGGAGATTAAAATAAATACATTGAGAGGAACATTCTCAAAGCTCCTGCACAGACCACTGCCTTCTCCCTTGGGCCCATTGGCATCCCTTCCCTACAGGCAATAAGGCTGCCAAGTCCACTGTTCAGAAAAATGCCAGAGTGGAGAAACAAGGTTAAAAAACCAGCCAGGAACGTGCTTCTTTATATGTATACATTAAAAACTAAAAGGTAAAATATGATAAAATGACTTTTTAAAAGTACATTGCCTATGAAAATTGATCCACATGTGTAAGGTAATGATTCCAAGATACCAGCCTATGTTTTCTGAAATTCTAGAAAATGATACTTAACAGTGAATTCTTTGTAGTGTTAAAGAAAAATCAATCACATGGATATTTGTTTAAAAAAAAAAAAGACTTCCTTTGTGTGCCAAGTTTGGATCATGAGGTCTCACACAAGTTAGGCATAGAAATTAAACATCTTAAAATGAAATTTGAGGCTATGTGTATAATACACTGGGTAGAACACATGCTTGGTTTGCATGAGGCTGAGTTTAGTCTACAGCAAAGAAGGAAGCAAAGCCAGACAGAAAGGAAGGGAGGGAGGTCTCCATTTTCAACCATCACTGATTACCATTATATGAAAATAGAACTTTATTATAAGACAAAATGATTGAACCCTAAGTTGAATGGAATTATCAATTCTGCCCTCCTTATTAAACTTTGCCTTAAGCAAGATTAATGATAATGTGGCATTAACTTATAAGTCAGCAGTTCTCAACCTGTGGGGGGCAACCTCTTTGGGCTTTGGGTGGCAACTGGGTTCACCTAAGACCATGGGAAAACAGATATTTACATTACAATTTGTAATAGTAGCAAAATTAGTTATGAAGTAGCAAGGAAAATAATTTTATGGTTGGGGGTCACCCTAACATGAGGAACTGTACCAAAGGGTCCCAGCATTAGGAAGATCAAGAACCCCTGTCTTAGGTACACCAAAACCAAATATACTTTCACAGCATTTTGTTCCATGATTTAGTATGCAAACTCTTGAATCACCTCTTTTTTTTTTTCCCTTTACAGGAAAACTGAGGACTTTAATAACAAGCCTTTCAAGGTGAAAATGAATACAGGTATGCTTTTTTTCTATGCTCTTTAGCTCTGCTCTTTAAGCCACCTTGGTTCTACATTCACATAGCACTGTATTGATTGTAAATGTGAGGCTGAGTTTCCAAATATTTGGAGAGTTACATTCCATTATCATCATGTCCCAATCTTATAGCCCAAGGTACAGGTTTTTTTGTTGTTACCTGCCATTACTGATCTTTTATTATATATTTTCTATGTGTGTGTGTTCATGTAGCAGGTACACATGTGTTCAGGTGTGTGTGTATGGAGACCACAAATTAACCTTCAGTATCATTCCTTGCTTTTTAGTCCAGCTTGATTTTGAGGTAGGGTCTCTCATTTGGCCTGGAGCTCTGTGATTAGACTAGGCTAGCTGTCTTGTGAGCTCCAGGTGTCCCCCAGTCTCTGCATCTCCAGTACTGGACTTATCAAGCACATGCTACTGCGCCCAGCTTTTTAAATTTTAGTTCTGAGGATCCCACTGAAACTTTCAAACTTGAATGGCAAACACTTTACCAGCTCAGCGATGATCTCAGCCCTTTCTAGTTGTTGGGTTTTTTTGTTTGTTTGTTTGTTTCAATTAACTCTTAAAGCTGCTTGAAATTGTGTTTATACATTTGAAATCTCTTAATTAAAATATGTTAGGTTCAAAAGCAAATGGTTCTGGTGAACAGTGTTTAACCTTTTCTACTTTATAAACTGTTTATGTTGACAAGGTCAGAAGATAGAATTCCAAAACCTCATGTAAAATGAGTTCGATTAATTCTTTATTATCACAATATACATAAAACCATAAGCATGTTATTTTTAGACTTGTACACAGTATCCTTAACTATTTTAACACAAATACCCCTGAACATTTTAACTGTAAAATGATTTATAAATGCCTGATAAATACATAAAATGTCACTTCGGTCCCACAGCAGACCTCTTTGGCTTGTATCTTCACTTTTCCCTCATTGTCGATGGTCTCATACACAGTACACTAGCATGCAGTAATTAAAACAACTTTCTCATTGAAACCCTGTAACTGTGTCATAGCTCATGGCTGGAGAATTGTTTTAGCCAGCCGCCCCACAGCAGAGCAAAAGGAACTCCCAGGTCATTCTTTTTCGTCAAGCTCCTTGTATCAAAGTGTCTAGAAGAAGGATTAACAGCTGGCTGGTAAGAGCCAGTATTTAATCCCTAGATCAAGCCTGGAGACACGTGCCAGTTCCACCTCGCTATGGCATCTTCTTAGCTAAAACCTGCTCAAACTGGCCTCAGAGAACACTGTCAGCTGGCTCCTGAGGACAGAGCCCACATGTAGATGGACGTTTAGAGAAGTGAGCAAGACAGGGTGTTCGAGAAAGAACTGATGACCTTCTCAGAGAGCCAAGTGGAGGAGTTTTTACAAGTGAAGATGGGTTTGCCTTCTCCAGTCTCCTCTGCCTAATGATAGCTATCATTTCATTTTGCACTTACAATGTAAATGACTGTGATGAGCCATTTTGCACTCTATGGAGTGACCACAGAGTCACTCCAGCAGACTGTTCACATGAAGAGGTGGGGTTTACTCACTATTTCAGAGATATCGCCTCTGAAGATTTAAGTTCTACACGGCTTCCCAAAATAGGATTTTCCCATTATGAGAAATTTGCATATATAATTATACTAAACATACAGTACTTATATACAATATATTCAACAGTTGGTCTTCACATTCCTATAATCATGTCCTAATAATCAAGTTGGCATGGAGAAACTGGGAAATTGTTTAACTCTCTGGTGTCTGAACAAAGTTACTGCTCAGCAGCATAAATAGAAACCTCTATAACAACCTTTCATTTATAAGGAGTGATCTTGACGCTAGATGGGCACAAGTGTGCATAAAATTGGGTTGCCTATGTGGATAGATTTACCTACGGAAACATGCAAGTTTAGTTGTAAGTTGAAACCCTTTGCTTAAGATTCCAAAGTAATGTTACAATGTTGCAATAAAAACATGCTACATTTAAAAATATGGATGGCAAATATTTAGGTAGAAGTTAGATAGGTACATATTGCTTTCAAAAACAAATTATTGTCACTGCATTTACAAAAATAAGGGATAATTGATTCCTGAGTAACTAATAAATAAAATTGGCTCACCTTATTTATCTATACATTATTAATGATATATAATATTTTTTAAAACTCTATATACCAGAGCCAGGCGGTGGTGGTGCACGCCTTTAATCCCAGCACTCAGAGAGGCAGAGGCAGGCTGATCTCTGTGAGTTCGAGGCCAGCCTGGTCTACAGAGCGAGTTCCAGGAAAGGCACAAAACTACACAGAGAAACCCCGTCTCGAAAAACCAAAAACAAAAACTTCTATATACCAGGTTTGAGACAGGTGCTCAGTTGAGTAAAGTGTTTGCTGCTCAGTCGTAATCCTAATCCCCCAGGTAAAAAGCCATGTACAGAACAAGCACTGGTAATCTCAGTACTGGGAGGCAGAGAGTTCTAATCAGTGGGCTCCACCCTCAGTGAAAGATTCTGTCTTTAGGATAGAGAGAGAAACAGGGGATTCTCTTAACCTTGATCCCTGGCCTCCAGAAGCACCTACATGGACAGTTCACACATACACATATATATGTCACATACATGCAAAAAAAAAAGCCTACTTAACAGTCGCTACGGTCTAAAAATTCTTTTATATCTAATATTTACTTTTAATCAGATGTATAACAAACTATCCAAGGAGAATGAGTTTCATGTTTGCATTTTAGAATGCCTAAACTATGACCTAGCTCCACTCAATAGCAACTGACTTATTACTTTCTAATGCATAAGAATTCACTACCATTAAAAACGGGGAAAGATAATTCATAGACTATGGTTTACCCACCTAAGTGTTTTCTAGACGTGGAAACAGCAGCCAGGCATCTTGAAGCTCAGTGGAAGGACACTCAGCCAGGCTGTGGTCCGTGGATAACTGTGATGGAGGGACCAGCACTGGGTTGCCGTGGATAACTGTGATGGAAGGACCAGCACTGGGTTGCCATGGATAACTGTGATGATGG